TGGAAAATGAAAACATGAATGCTAAACCAATCACAAGTAAGCCAGTGATAGTTTGAAAACTTAATTTCACTCTAAATATTGTTATAAAGTCTTGCAGTAGCCGCATTTTTTGATATGATTTTACCCAAGTGAGAAGCTAAATGGAATTAGATGATCGGAAGTCGATGATCGTAAGACAATGCTACTATTATATATCGTTAGAACAAAGACAAATTAATCTAAGCGTACAGATTGTCGTGTTATTCTCATTCTGTTACACCAAAAATAAAAAAAAAAACTGCTGCTTAACGGATTGCCAAGTGGGTCTATGACTTGCTTGATTGCTTATGCCCCATTAGCGCTGTTCCCCGGGGACACAATACGTATTGCGTTACTGCTATTATTATGAATGGGCGATTCATCGTTGCCAAGCGATTTATCGTTCCCGTCGCACAGGATATTGGACCTTGTATAAATATAGCGTACATCAAGCGCCACCATCATTTTGGACTCAGGAGCGATTGGTAAACTCTTAAGCCTTACGTTACCAGTCTAACACACGTTTGCCGAGCAATTGTTATAGGCCTATCACTTTTGTTGGTATGTAGTCCATTATTTATATTGTAATTATTTTTTTAATCTTTTTAATTTTTTATGCTGCCCCTAAACTATGGAATGTTCTACCGATTGAAATCAGGAAAGCAAGTAATGTTGATGTTGTTAAAAATATGAAAACTTTTTTATTATTGCTTTTAATTTATAATTTTCCTGTCTTGTTGGAATCGCCGATCTTATTAATATGAATTTTAACTTGCTTATGACTGTTTAACTTTTATTGTGATGCAATATTATTGACTTTTAATGTTGAATCTTGCTTCCTAGAATTTTAGCTTCCCATAATTTTAACTTTCTCTTCTATATTGTAAAATTGTATTCTTATGTATTTCATTGTAGTATTATTATGGAAGTTGCGCAATATAAATAAATAAACTGTTATTATTATTATTATTATTATTATTATTATTATTATTATTATTATTATTATTATTATTATTATTATTATCATTATTATTATTATTAGTAGTAGTAGTAGTAGTAGTAGTATTAGTATTATTATTATTAATATTATTATTATTATTATTATTATTATTATTATTGTTATTATTATTATTATTATTATTATTATTATTATTATTACTACTACTACTACTACTACTACTAATACAGACCGTATATCTTTAACAATAATGTTACCGGTGGTAGATGGTTAGATCCCAGAGGGATCATTGGCGTAACGAGGATGTTTGCGCCGCTGGCTAAGGCTTCTTGGCTTCTACTACTCCTGGGGGACGGAAATTTTTGACGTTTTAAGGGCGTATTTTGGTAGGTCTTGCTCGGCCGATTGGGGAAAAATGCTGATGAATTGCATTGCCACTTGGATAAGACAGTGATTAATATAAATATTGACTATTTTTGGCCATGTGCCTAAAGAGAGAACAAAAATAGCTAAGACCCGTAGGCCTTCATCCACTAGACATTTTACCATCAATGTGGTTCGTAGAATAAACTATCCATTTGTACAACCACTCACGGTTTTAAAACATGAGTTGAATTAAAATTGAATTGAATTGAATTTACATAAAATATTAAATATATCGTCTAATATTAAAATGCCAAGGTTTTTCCATACCGATGTGATTGGTACAAGTTTGAGTGATATACTGTGTTCATTTTTATTATTCCTATTAGAAGTTGATCAACCGGTTTTATAAACGTGCAATACGTCGTCGATGTGTAATAATTATTTCGATCCTTAACAGCAAATTTATAATGAAATTTTAAACTGAATAAACAAACAAATTAAAATTTTTACCTTGTATCTATATCGTGCATGTTTTTAGGTCATTCAAGTGCATCTGTCAATATTTAAACCAGATTTTAACTAGAGTTACGGTATTTTACGTTTGTTGTAAATTTATCGATTGTCTTGTGCCAATGGAAAGACATTTCCAAATACATTTTCGGACCAATAAAAATTATCTTATCTATACAATGGTATTATCTTTTGAAGAACCTGTATTTGCGACAATGCAGATGGTATTCCGTGCAAGTTTGTTATTGTTAGTAGTGGTGGTAGACGTTTCCTATGCAAAGTATGGTTGTACCTATGCAACTGAATCGTATTTTGGACCGCGTAAGTTCTATCAAATACCGTCAACATCATACATTTTTTATTTTGCATGTGCCTGATTTAATATGCTACGGTTAGAAAGCTAATTAGCTGCCATATTAAAGTGGTAGTCTGTGGGCACACATCCACATCATAATCGAACAGAGAGAGTCACGCACCCTATCGAGCAAGCGGCGCATTCTAACTTGATACTGCGCGCTTCTTCCCAGCCAACCAATGGTGGAGAGTTCAGGATTTCTTCATATTCAACAGAAATAGGATGATTAATTTAATAAAGAATGACGTATATGCACGTGCCTGCCGCTTTAAATTAAAACCATTTAATTGTATTCCACCCTGGGAATTGTAGTTGATGGCATGTGTGATGACTCAAAATAACAAAATTAACGAATTCCTTAATTTCAAACATATCGTGGTTATCATTCGTTTTGTAAAATTTCATACGTTCTTTACCAATCCTTCCATTTTTATACATGACAGGTTATTAATTTACAAATGTTAAAAAACAAATCATAACGCCGTTTATGATATTATTTCAGGCTCTAAATTTTTTGAATGTAGCGAATGCGATGACACAGGGGCGCAAATTACTCATAATTGTGAATTGGCCTAAACAGGAATAAATATATTTAATGTATTTATTTGGTTTTATTGATTGATTGTATCATCGAATTAATTGGTTGGTTGTGTAAATAATTGATCGTTTTACTTGATTAGTTGATTGGTCCATCGATTGATTGCTTGTTTGATTGATTTATTTGATTAAATGATTGTTGATCAATTTATAAATTTATCGATTACCATTTATTTGTTATTTATAGATTGACAATGAATTGGTAGGTTGGTTGTGTGAATAATTGATCGTTTGATTTGTTTGATTTTTCCGCTGATTGATTAAATGAATGATTGACTTATTGAATGATTGAATGACTGATTGATCGATTTGTTGATTATCGATTTGTCGTTTAATTTCTTCAATACTGGTAATGTATTGATTGATTTATAAATTTATCATTTATTTATTATATTAATTGATTTATTGATAATTTTAATATATTTACTTTCTTAGAAAAATGTAAGGACAGTGATGGAAATGAATACAATGAAGGTGACACCTGGCGTACTAAGGATTGCAAGAACTGTGAATGCTACAATTTCTATCACTTGTGCTGTGATCTGTAAGTATAAACACTCAAGTTCAAGTTTGTTTTATTGGTCATAGGCCTATACAATAATTTATACAATACATGAAATTAGCTTTCCCGGTACAATGAATAAAGAAAAATACTATACTAAAATATAACAGAATCAAAACATACTTCATAGAATAAAACACCCTGAAAATATGAAAAGTCTGCCGCTGGGCTTGTTGGCCATTAAGAATTTTTACTTTAGTAGAACACAAAAAGAGCTTCATATCCTATTTTTTCGTAAGATGATGAGCTTTAATTTGATTATGATTTATTCATTGTAGACTTAATAATTTTTAAATAAAACATAAATTGACGATATTGTATACGATATTTAATTTAAATGAACTTGTTATTGTTTAGTATAAATGGTCTACCGCTTATATACCGTAAAACCTTAAATAGAAGCCTTCATGGGCCTAATCTCGAGAAGAAGCCCATCTCAAAAAGATGCACCCTTCTTTAGTTTGCGAAAGAAATGAAAGAAGCGCAGCCCATTTGGAAAAGAAGCCCATGGGCTTCTAATCAAAATAACTGTGGGCTTCTCTCGAGACATTCAGACTGACGTTATCTCTGATCAATAATGATAGCGTGTACGTCGGTATAATTATTATTGTATTGTAATAGCATGGTTAAAAAAATAAATTCCACAGTTGAATAATGTCGTATAGTAGCGATTCCCAAATTTACAATATTTTTGGTTTACAAAAGTAATCTCGAAAAGCAGCCCATCTCGAAGCCCATCAAAGAATCCTAAAAAAGAGAGGCTTCTATTCAAGGTTTTAAGGCTTGAAGAAATATGTATTTTGTTGGCCTATACTGTATATTTTCTTGAATCCTGATGTTGTTTTAATCACGCAGGAAACCTGTATACTATGATTGGAAATCTGCTCCGAAGGGATGTATAGCAGAATGGAACCCAAAGACGTGTAAGGAAGAGTTCGTTTTGGAATCGAACCCCACATTACCTTGTCCATACGCTGAAGAAGAATGGTAATCCCCTATTATATCACGCATCGCACCACGTAACCATGCACATGTGACAGTAATGATTACTGGATGTTGTGGCCAATGTGATGAGCAAGGAACACAGAGACCAGCAACCACTGATCCAGTGCCACTAAGTTTGATCAATCCTTTCCTCCATGGTTTGATTGATTACATTCGTGAAACCAAGTGAAACGAAAATTTAGGCAAAAGTATTATACGGGATGGAACGTGAATATTTTCAATTGCGCAATATCACTGTATTCATAATGTTCGTACTTATAAGAGTATATTGATAAATCAATATGAATTGGTTGAACGAATCTCTCTTTTTCTAAAGCTGTGTTGTGAGTTTGTGGATAAGACTTCAGTCATTTAAAAACGGCATAATTCTATCCCTCACAATAAATTACAGAATTTTTCCCACGATGTATGTTGGTCTGTAGAATTACTGAGGTTTTGTTGCCTTTTTTTGGAAATAGGTACCATGGGCACATTTCCAACAATGCAACTGTCCTTCAGAGTGATTGTTGTAAATATAGTCAAAGGAACTGTATAATGCATTGACTCACCTCCCTTCAGTACCCAGGGTGAATACTGTCAGGTCTCGATGATTTAGGTCCTGTTTGGTTTATGATTTATTTTAAAGTATTTATATTGCAATCAGTTGAAACTGCCATTTTATTGATGATAACTTAGATCTACTGTGTTTCCCTAATTTATTGAAATACACAATGCCCCACCCAAAGAAAAATATCAGAACATAGCTGTGTTTTTTACGATATCAAGCTGTTTAAAAGACGATGGCTCTCTGAGAAAAATAAAGCAAAACAACTTAATGATAGACCGTGCTGTCTGTATTTCTTTGTATAATAAAGATAACTTGATGATGATTATGATGATGTTGTGATTGAGATAATCGATGGTGGTAATAAATGATGACATTGAAGAATGGTAAATGATAATGATAACGATAATGAGGAAGATCATAATTATAATTATGTATATAGGCCTACGTTGATGATCGATGATGATGATTATGACAATTGATGATGATAATATATGATGACATTGTAGGATAAGTACTGATAATGGTGATGATAATAATGATGATGAGGAAATTTATAATGATAATTAGGCCTAGGCCCTTATGCATATTATAGGCTTACTTTGTTTTAATTATTTTATTTAGGCACACAACACATGCACAAAGGATTGCCAAGGCCTATCACTTCATGTCCTACTTTGTAGGTGACAATCCCTTTAACAAGACAAACATACACACATGATGCTGTACACAAACTAAATCTCAATATGAGGTTTAGGGAGTGGAGTTGTTTGGTCGTGAGAAAAAATCCTGCAACACTGACAGGAATTGAACACATAACCCTGGGATTGGAAGGTATTTTGAAGATCTAGGGTTGGAGAACCACCAGAAAATGTTGACAATTCAAATGCTTATAATCGATGATAGCCTACTGATATGTAGAAAATAGGTCTACATATAATTTTTCCCCGACGAAATGTGGTTTTTCTTTCAGACGGGGCTGGTACGGGTCTCCCGACCTAGGCGCCAGTGGCGCAATACCTATGAGCTCTCACTGGCTAAAGCCTGGGGCTCCGGAACCTCAAGGGGCCCCCAGCAAATTCAAATATTTATTTTTTACAAACAAATAACCAAGCCCCCTTGCCAAGCCAAAGTTTGCCAAGAAATTAGGGCCCGGGCCAGTCTAGCCTACATTTTGTTGAAACTTGAAAAATTTGCCAAAGTACCGTACGCTAACTGGAGTGGAGTTGAATAGCTTGGTGGTTAAGATGCTTGCCTTCCAATCCCAGGGTCCTGGGTTCAATTCCTGCCAGTTGCAGGATTTTTTCTCACGACATAAACAACTCCACCCTCTTAATTTATATATATGTAAGGGATTGTCACCTACAAGTAGGACAGTGATATATATATTCGCTATTGGCAATCCTTGGCACATGTGTTGTGTGAAAAAAGAAAGAATAATAATAATAATAACCATGAGCAAAAACGTTGACACACATGAGTATGATACATAGGCCTACGTTTCTGTCCATAAATATTTATTGATTTTAATTGACTCGTTTTGTTTGGTAGGCCTAGGACTATTGTGTAGGCCTATTAGTGATATCTTTTATCACTAAAATTCTAAAATATCTAAAATTAAGTGGCCACACGCTCTTTTTGGGGTCAAATCACGATACATAAACTTAGAATTCGAATGTCTAAAAAAGTATTAAAATACAGTACCGTACGTCATAGAACGCAATTTTTTTTCTTTGTGGACGGAGGTGTGTGCTCCCCGCCCATCTCCTAAATACGTACTCACCGCGCATAGTTACCAACCTGAGAGATTTGAAATGCGTGACTATCCAGTTAAGTGGGGGAGGCAGGGGAGGGGTGCCAGGGCCCCGGGTTTTTTAGGGGGGGGGGGCGGTGTGGGCCGGTTCCAGTCACATCAGTGACAAAACGCGCAATATCTTTCGTGGTTGGCCGGCTGGGTTTGTTTTGTTGGGAAAAGAGAAACTTACCTTGCTGAATTGATTCTCGAACGAGATAACGATCGAAAGCTCTCTAGGCCTACACTTCTTTTTTTATAAACCAGTAAAATTTTGCCCAGGCTCAGCGTTCTTTTTTTTTTTTGTCATTTGACATTGTAGGCCTACCTACAGGTAAGCCTCAATTTGTTCTTATTTTGTTCTTAAGTTTTAAGCAATTTCAGCCTCGTGTTCTTATAGATGTGTTCTTATATAAAAAAAGTTTATTGACTCGATCAAGCTACTGCATGACCTTCTTTAAGGCCTATTTAATAAAATCAATTTCTTCTATTAATTTTAAATAGGCCTACATTTTCCCCTGAATTCTTTATCACGCATAGACTTAACTTGTGCTAAATGCGTGACAAATCTTTGATCACGAATGTGTTTCTGCAAAATGCGTGTTTCATCCAAAATCACTTTGAACTGCGGGACCGTCCCGGTTGACCGCGGCACCCATTCCCAAATGTTAAATGCCGCTTTATCAATGAATGCATTACATACGTAGACATGCATCATACAGGATCAAGATAGAAAAAAAAGAAAACACCACTAAACATTTTAAAAATTAAACGCTTATTTTTATACCTTCATGAGGTAAACTACTGTGTGAAAAATATATTAAACAAACAATAATTTTAGCACCTCCAAAATTTAAACCATAGACCCCCAACTATAAAACGATACAACGACTGAGTCTACATCAGAGCTAAGCCCAGTACCAGTAATGTAAAGCCCTTCTCATGACCTCAGAAACCCGTTACAAACCAACCCGTTATTGTCCGAGCTACAGTAAGTTACTATGCTGGATACGATCTGAAAACTTCCTGTTCCGGGGAAGCTCAAAAAAGTGTATTAATACTTCGGTATACTAGGCGCAAAAGCTAAATTCATTATCACCTCACCGCAATCCAATATTAATTGATAAAATAGCTGCAAGACATTCTTCTATGACCTTTTTGTTTCGACGGAAATAAATATATGTTGTCACTCTTCCAGTGTCCATGTTATGTGGTTATGCTGAACATTTTTAGGCCTACACAGAAATTCACACGGCAGGAGGGGCAGATTATACGCGGATCAACAAGGAGAGAGTATTGTTGATCGAGGGGGTTGAGTCCTTCGGTCTGATGTTGAGTGTGACAGGTATATTCTTTGGAACCGACAATCATGGTATCACCCTTCGATGCAAACGATACTCCTATGTAAGTAGGTTTGTCAGTTATATTTTGTGTTGAAATTGAATTGTTGATGAGGCCTAAAACGTCAAACTAGGCCAGGGTGGTAGTTATTTTTTATAAATGCAAGGGCCTAGCCTAGCTCGGTCACATCTACAGTAGGCCTAGCTTAATTCTAGTGCCTAGCTAGGCTAGAGAGTGATGTCGATGAATGGATGGATGTCCTTCTTTGATGAAAATTAACAAAATTGAAGTATATAAGTTTTCATAAACCATTTGCTATTAGGATTGAATTACTCTTAATCTGCAAAATGACCATTTTTTTAAATAACATTATAAGTAGTTGATTGTGATGGGATAAAAAGAAAAGCCTAGGCAGCAATGATGGCTAGGCTAGAGGGAGCACCTAGGCCTTCCTAATAATAATGCACGCGACGTTGAACGAAACCGATGGTGCAAGTTACAGCCATTACATAGACGATTCGTACCATTTTATTATACAATCATTAGATGATTATTAATTCTCCGTGGGTATGTCCTTAACCTTAAAATTCGGTCTCACTACTGTTTTCTTAATGCAAAATATAAAATAATATTAAGAAATGATACAAAAACCAATGAAATTGGCAAACACAAGCAAGAAGAAAAAGTTTTATATCATATATATATTTATTTATATATACAGTATATATATTTTTGAAGGAATTCAAAGTTGAAGAATTTCAATTGAACTGCAAGTGCTGCTGGGGGAACATTATCCCGCAGTTTAACTGAGCGGTATTTGAATGTTTGTTGCCTAAATTTATTGTTCCATTTTGGTAAAACAACTGAAGTATTTTTTTGATTTTCTTTTTGTTCTCAGATCATGATAATTATCCATTAGTTCATAGAATTTATTTAAGTACTCAGGAACTGTGCCTGTTAAACATTTAAAGGACATATTAGTATATTCTGTTCTCGTCGTTGATTTACATACTTCCAATATGATTATAAGAACAAAACAATGAGCCATATTGTGAATAATAAATGAAGAAAAACAGATTAAAAGGATAGTTACCTTGTTTTAACTAACAATTTTTATTTTAGAAACACACAAGCTTCTTTCATTCATGATTATGAATGAGCATCATGAAGATAATAATATTTAATATTTCAGCCTACGGACTAGAGTTGATCCAATTTAGACTGCAGGGCTAGTAGTAGTTATAGGTTAGACTTAACTGTAAAATATGTACCATGGGTATTCAATGTATAGATTAACAAAGTTAACATTTCATTGGAATGACTTAATTAATCATTGTAATGGTGATATACTTAAAATGTGCATTACAAAATCGCCTCTATGCGCTAAGAAACCACAGCCCAAATGCACAAAAAAGGGAAGAAATAAAAACAAAAACCAAAAGAAAAGGAATCAAGTTCAGAATTAAAATATAAAGATGGAGGGTCATGCACAGTCTCAGGTAGTTGGTTCCAAAGCTTCGGAGCAGCAACTATAAAAATATGATTGCACAAGTTTTAAGGTCACCAATGGGACAGTTACGAATGGTAGATCAAGATGAGGTAGACCTAAGTCTGCGGCCTAGCATGCTTACTGTAGGTCCCAACCTAGTCCTATACATAGACTTGCAGAATCATTTTAAAATTAAAAATAATAAATGTGCTTTTGACTTACAAGTAAATACACACATAAATAAAGAATAGCAATAACATTTGGATAAGTAGCTGTTGAGACCATGGTAATTAACTTTACAGAATATTTTTATGGTTATTAAGGAGTGTACTTGTACACAAACCTTAAAATAATTTATTTTGATTGTTTTGTTCATTAGATGGTTCTTTGGTGGAATTTCTCGAAATGAAGCAGAGATGCGGTTGAAGGATAAGCGTCCGGGAATATTCTTAATTCGTGAAAGTAACACAAGTCCTGGTTCATTTGTTCTTTGTGTAAGGTATGCTGACCCATAATACATTTTATTTCACAGTTGACTTTTTCCGATATACTGACTTAACAACAATCATGATGAAATAGTTTAAATAAGGTACAGCAATAAAGATGAAATACTCAATCCTTTTCAACTAACAAACATTTAACTATTTGTGCCTACCATAAATGCTCGAGTAAGCGCTGCAACGCTAATAAAATTTGTTGAGGCTTCATTGCGGCGCTTATTCAAGAGCAGCGCTTTCCATCCCCGTACTCATGTTGCCTATCTCACATATTCCAATAGGCCTATCATAGCTCCTACGTCATTGTATATAAACGTTTATAAAGAAATACTTGTGTCTTCATTGTGTTACTTATTTATTTTAACACTATACATTGTATTTAAAACCCTATTTCTCAAAGTGTTTCATTACACACAGGGTAATTATATACTATTGATTAAGCGGCGCTTAGCTAAAAAAATCAGGTTTGGTGCAGCGCTTATTCGAGAGCAGTGCTTATTTGAGCATTTCGGTAAACAATTATTAAATAGTTTGGGTTTTGTTAGTTCAAATTTACAATAAAGATGATAGACAACACAATAAAAACGTGCTCAGTGTTGAATATATAAACGGCATGATGATATGTCTTCATGATGTCTAGTGTAAATGTAGCTTCACTCTTAAAAAAAAGCCCACAGAGTGAAAAAATGGCATCAATCAAACGTTAAGCATTGGTTTCAGTATCAGTGGCACAAGCAATGCTGTATTGGGGGAAACCCACAGAAAATACCAACCTCTAAAAAATAAATTGCTGTCTAAGTTTAAAATTAATGATTTGATTGTCTATAATTTCAGTGAAAACTGCAAAGTATCTCATTACATTATCAATAAACGTGGCGAGAAGTACCAGATTGGAGATCAAGAATTTAAAAGCTTACCAGATATTATACAGTTCTACAAACTTCATTTTTTAGACACAACAACACTTGTAGAACCGGTAAGTTGAACAGTACCTATTGCAAGTAGTATTTTTTTTTCTTTTAAAAAACTATATTTTAAAATATTTAGCAGTGTCAATTTTAAAATATGTAAATATTTCAATATCCATGTTGATGAAATGTGTGGTATTAGTGCATTGCATATTATTAGCATAAATTAAGTGATCAGTAGAATGATTTTAACTACTGTTACTTTTTATTCATAGAGTCCGAAAGGTCCAATTGTTCCACCAGAATCTCCATCAACTACCTTTGCTCCTGCGGGTGTCCCAACTGCAGGCGGAGAACTTGTTATTGCTTTATATGATTTTAAGGGAAAGGTGAGTTAATTAAGTTTCATTGGTGACAGTTGATGGTGTTGACTTTATTAAGTGTTTTTCCCCCCTGCATTAAAAACATGAAACAAAAAGTTTTATTCTACTGTAGCCTAGGCCTAAGTATACATTGTGTCTGTATTTAACATTTTTCGATCTTTGTCGATTTAAATTCGAAGATATGTCTTGGTCCTTGACTCATTTATGTTCACTTGGATTGGCTTTAAGTCTTCATAGGACTACGAATGAATGCCTTGTTTAAAGCAAGAAATCAAGTTGTCTTTACCCAGTGTACTGCTCATCTATTTTATTTGTGTGTAAATTTTTTAACCAAAAAGCAATTCTTCCAATAAACTTGAAATCAAATTCTATTGTATGTATGTAGGAAATACTGAACAGAATAATGCATAAATCTTTTTAATTTATAATTGAAAATATAATAAAAACATAAATGATAGTACAGTACTCTTGTTACAACAGTAAAAAAGAATCTGACCTAATTGTGTTTTACAGAGAATGGAGTGAATACATGAATTATTTGTAGGCAAAAAAAGAAATAGTTTGTATAAATTGAATTGCACATTAAACTTGTGAGAATAGGGAGAGGAACCATGCAGAACAATAATGGAAATGAAACCCAACAGAAAAAATATTTTGCACAGAGATGAAACCTGAAGTAAAACTAGTTTGAAATGCAGGTTTAATATCATATAGTTAAAGTGCTATGAGTAAAAATGGTTCTCAATGTAATATTTTTTTAAATCTTAAATTGTTCAAATGTTACTTAAAAACATTGGCTGTATTCAACTTGTCGTTCTTTGTTGAACCACGCCCACCTACGCAGTGGTAAAATCCTACTTGACGAAGACGACCAGACGAATAGAAAACTGGTAAATACTCGACAAAACAAAATGGCTGCGTAATCAAGGTTGCTTTGTCTTGTGGCAGTAAGGGTTTTTCATAAAAAAAATGTTTTCCATGCAGTTTTTGATATCTGTTAGCCTACAATTATTTTTTTACTTCATGTGGGTAAATATTATAATTATTATTTTCTGAAATTAAATCTAAATTATATTAACACAAATGTTGTTGCTAAACTGACCAATCGGCCATGTTTGTTTTGGTCATGTTGATACCTTTTTGCAAATTAACGCTGGTTGACACACTCTGGTTTACGTTAACTTCTGTTGTCAACGAAGTCTATTTTACGAACCAACCGAATGAAAATAATATTCAACGAAACAAACCTGTTGAATACTGCCATTGATGTGAACATTATAGAATCTTATTGAAAGAGGCAGAAATGAATTTATATAAACCAATTCTAGAATGCACTGACTGAAGTCTCCTACTTGAAGGATGATGAATAGGTGTAAATCACCTTGTTTGTTATTTCCAGGCACATTATTTTTAACAGACTGTACAGTTGATGAAATAAATGTATTCTTCTTTTTGTTTAACTAGGATGAGGAAGACTTACCATTTAACAAAGGAGATATTTTAACTGTTATTAGGAAAGATGAAGAACAGTGGTGGACTGCAGTTCATCCAGCAACAGGAGCAAAGGGTGCTATACCTAAACCATATGTCGAAAAGGTGAGTTGATCAAAAACTTTAAAACAATTAAAAGGCAAAAAAAGAATATCTATTGGAAATGGAAAAAAGGAAAGGAAAAATGAAAAGAAATAGAAAAATAAATGAAAGAAATGGGGGAAAAAGAAAAGGTAAAGAAATAAATTACAGGGAAGTAAAGGAAAAAAGTAATAAGATTAAAAGAAAAGAAAGGATAAAGGGAAGAAAAGACATGAAAAACAAGGAAAAGAAAGGATAAGGGAAGAAAAGACATGAAAAACAAGGAAAAGAAAGGTAGAGGTAATAAGGACACGAAAAGAAATATTTAACAATTAGGTAGATAAAAAAAAATCATTAAAATCAGGGACGTATCCAGGGGGGGAGCCGTGGGAGCCGCAGCTCCCCCCCCCCCCCCAGTGTTAAAATTTTAAAGCTTATTCTTGAGCCAATACAAATTCTTTCCTGGGATCACTCAAAATGAATACTTCTAAACATGTAAATAAGCATCAGTACACGTTATACATAGGCCTAATAGAACACATAGGCCTAAGCGTGATTTTAAAAAATCTTAAATTCATAAATCTCAGGCCAGGTCTTTTAAGATAGAAATGCAATACTGTGGTTCAATTTCGTTTTTATCCTTTTGCAAGTTTCTTTAAATGTTTGTTTAATAATACTACTAATAATAGTAATAATAATAATAATAATAATGATGATGAGGACGATAGTAATAATTGATATTAATATTAATAGCAATAAAAAGTGAAGAAAATTGTGCTAAATGCGAAAAAAAAGTTGTGATTTGTTGATCATACTATAGTATATATAGTTAAAGCTTAGTAAGCTATAGTTCGGCCTAAGTTGGTAATATTTCCTCACCTCAGCCCCAGCCATGGTGGTCGTGAAATCACGTTTTTGAAGTAGGCCTATGTAAAGTACATACTCAAAGACAATGTTTTTAAGCTTTGTTTTCTATGGAATACACACATTAATAAGATCTCTATGGTTGTCAAAAATCCACGANNGATCATGAGAATTTTTTTTGGCGCTTCATTTTGACTAATGGTGATGTGATGATGATGAATTTTACTAAAAGTGTCATTTCTGGCCATCTAGAGGTACTATTTCCTCAAATTTTCTCACCTCAGCTGCAACCATTGTGGGGCTGAGAGTGGGTGTAGACTCACAAAATACCCTCCCCCTCCACCTTTCAAAACAGATCTGTGCCCTTCCCTGGGTATGACATTAAACTCCATCGAGTTGTCGGCTCCTGACGTATGTCTTAGTGACTGCTGTTTGTTTTTAGGATGTGATCTGGTTTTTCAAGCTTTAGACTGGGTGGAAAACTTCAAGCCTGGGTGGCCCCACCCACCTCTGCCCATCATAACTACATATACTTTTGGGGGGGGGGGGGGTGGTGAGGAATTTGTATTAGAATAGATTAATTATTAATAAATGGAAGAATTCAAGTCAACTTTTATTGATGTAAAGTCTAATTGATGTTTATAATTGTTATAATTTAATTTTTAATGTATTTAACTTTTTTCATTTTCACCTACTTTCATGTTAAATATTCTAATTGCAATGAGTGACATAATACATGATTGAAATCAATTATTACATTTTTATTTGTAGTCTTAATGTTATTTCAGTCTAATTTATTCCACCCTCATAAAAAATATGTATTTAAACTAATATCATATTCCATCATCTTTCAGATAGGAGACAGGATTCAAATTTTAATACAAAACCCAAGTGGACAATGGGAAGGAGTAAACACAAAAACTGGAAAAACTGGATCATTTCCGTTTACGCATGTACAATTGTTAACAGGCCCGGATGAAACTTAGCTGATTGTTCAAAACCTTTACCACTGGTAATCATTCATATTTTTCCTGAGATATGCAACAAATTTGGATTGACATAGCAAGATTGTTTTTGTTTACTTGCTGGAGCATATCAAATCATTCTTTAATCATTTCAAATTAGAATAATTTGCTGGTTTGATATTTTCACAACTTAACTTTAATTAAAGTGGTTTAACGAGTTGAAATGAAAAATATTGCGGACCCACTTTTGTTTTTTTAATGCCTGTTTAAATTAAGCATCCATTGTACTTCATCCTGTGATTAGCTGTTATGCTTTAGCAAAACAACGCAACAATGATGAATGAACTGTGAACTCTGACATCAGCTCAAGAGACAGGCCGATCAGCGAAGAAAATTGAACCGTACTTTCAGTACGTGAATTTTTAAAAGACAAAACAGAACTTGAATGTACTTAAGATCATATAGCTGAAGATTGTCTGGAGGTGCTTCCCCGCAGACATCTGATCTACAATAGCTGTATTGCACAGCGCATGTATTCAGTTTGATCACAGATTCTGTGTAGGATCTATGGTTTGATGATACTTAATTAGCAAGGTACAGTAGATAATTAATGATTAATGATGTTAATGTCTAACGACATCTGTATCACGTTGAAATATTTACTTTGTTTTAAACCTTCCATCGTATAACATTTTATAAAATGTTGACAACCAGTGTATAAGTTTGCCAACCTCTTATTTTTAATTATTAAAAACTATTCAAAATCCTATACAAAATTTGAATCACCTTTCTAACGAGAATGTTTAATTACAGTAGGTGTCTTTTATAAGAATTGAACAGTATCCCACCCACTCCCACACAACTATTGGCAATTATATTGGCTGTAGTGTATTGTAAGTAAACAGAAATGCATTAATTATGTGGTAGTTTGTGCATTAGTGATTTGTTTTTTATACATACATAATCAGTGAATGTATATTTTGTTAGTAGAAATATCAATTATACATTGATTAGATATTTTTTCTATAATGTTGATCAAACACCCTATAACAATATGACGAAACTTGTTTAATATCTTGTTTTGCAAACCAATAATAATGTATTTGTTTTAGCCAGTGCACCCGCTGCTGTATAAAAATGAAAAAAAAAAAAAATCGTGATAATTATGCCTGCCGCGCCCATGAAATATCAGGATAAGAAAGCTATATTTCTTTCTCACAAATAAAGCATTTATCAGTCTGATTATACCTTGCAACATCACATTCTGTATACAGCCATGTGTAAACATTTCAAGGTTCAAAAAAACCTTGGCTAGTTCTTGTGATAAGTCATATGATAAAAATGGTCACAGGTGAATAATTCTGAATGTAATTTTTTCTTGAATAGACATGTATAAACATTTTTATTTTATTTACCAAATTTTATCCATACTCGTATTACCGTGAGTTACTTGCCACAGGATAGAATCACCTTGGTGATTCATTATGAGGCGTCATTATGAGGCATCAGATGTTGACTTCCAATCCTGTTGTTGCAGGATTAGAGCACCACTCTGTTTACAATGTTACATGAATTAAAAAACAACAAATCTTTAAGGAAGGATCGTGTTAACACGTTCTAGTTGCAAAGACTGCTGAACAATTTCAGTAGTTCCTCTTTTAAATTGAACTTATATAATATACAATTAGTTTATAATTATTTTGAATGATCATTTAGGAATTTTAAATACACTAGATAAGATAGATGTGCCCAGTGAATAACATTGAGTGGATATTTGTTGGAACTAGGCGTCCAGTAGTTACGTAGCTAGGCTATTGTTTCTTTTATGCCATTCAGAATATCCAGCATGTAGAAAGGGAGTTAGAAATATAGTGCGCTATCTAGAGATAGGTTAAGGAGGGGTCTCTAAGTAACCAGTATTGATTTTAAAACAGGTTCCATTTCACAAGATTGATTGTTGTAGTTGTCATGAAGCACATTAAATATCTCTTGTCTTTAATGATTGGTGCTACTGTAGGCCTAGTGTGAAGCAATAACCATGCAACATTCCTCCCAACAATATATTCACTGATGTCTTGTATTTGAACAGAGTAACTGAGATTTGGTTTTGCCTATGATCATTAAAGTCATCATAATCATGGATTATTATGTATAAAGGTACACTGCTTTTTAAAAAAATTTAGATGATAATTTTTAATATTATCCCACTGATCAGTTGTGTGTATGTAAATGATTTGTGATAAGATATAATACATACCCAGTACATGGTATCATATTGGATTGTTCCAGGTTTCTTTGACTATTTGTTACAGTTTTATTGTCTAAAACTAACAGTATAAATACACCAATTAAGCAATTATAATGTCACTTCATTCTATCAGTATTGCCTAAAATTTAGATCCACAAGACCATGTTCCTGCATATTATATTTCATATACCAAATCAGAGTTCCAACTTTGAGGTAGTGAATTTGGTAACCGGCTTCCGCACTTGCAAGTTGATTTTAGATCAGATGTGTGCTTGTGCTTAATTTTAATTCAAAAACAATAATAATAATAATAATAATACAGTAATAGAATAATATGATTTGAGTAGAACACTGGAAGTAATTAAGAAAATTAAGGAGTGGTATAATACATGTGAAAACATCTCAGAACAGCATGAAATGGCACAAAACTAGTCAGTTATTCTAGGTGCCAAAGGATAAGGCTTCCACCAAGTGTAATACAGAGTTATTTAATCTAATTTTATGAAACAGATTATTGCATGTTATGTAATAGCTTTAAAAAAAAACCAAGTACTGTATTAGATGCAGTTTGCTTCATTCAAGATCATGAAAATATACATTTACCTCCAAAAGTATATAAAAATTCATGTATTAATACCAAGCCCATGGATACATTGACATTAGTGCTGCATATTTTTGTTATCAGTAGCTAGTATGGACTATTTGGTAATTTTTCATCTTGTTTTACTTATTTTTTGTATATAATTTTAAATTGTTTACATTAAACTAATACTGTAATATATTCAAAAATTTGTGTTAACAGTAAACTTGCAGTACAGGTACTTAAGCATTTTCATCATTTCAATAAATATATTTAGTTCAATTTGTGATGCTTATAAGTACATTGCCAATATTGATATTCATGTAGTCAGTATGCCTAAATCTGATGGGTTTTTTGGTGCAAAAATTAAGCCCAACCCCACCTCCTTTCACAATGCAAACACTGTGCTGGAGACAGTAGATTTTTGCTTTATACCATGGAAGAGCAGTTTGGGTAGTTTGACAAAAACCCAGGGTCTTAAAGTTACATCTATGGAAAAGTCGGGAGATTTATTATCCTTACGAAAATCTAAATCGCACTCCAGTAAGTCAAGTCAGCTTGGCATAGCATTTCCTTCCAGGTTCTTAACCTTTTGGTCGGGAGTTTGAACCACACGCTTACAATTCTCAAGCAGCCATGCTTAAATACCCTGGCTTGCACTGGTGACAGTCTAGCAAGTGGTACATATTTCAGTCCTGCATGTCATCAAATCACACGAGGTATAAAAAATAAATGTTTTCTCCCATTTTCGCTGCGACAAGTCCCCCGCTGCCCTACTACAGATCAGCATATGGTAATGACATTACTTGCTGCAGTTTGTGTTCTAGATCTCTAGACAGGAGATGCTAAGGATATCTCATGGAATGAACTTGAGCTACAACCAAAGAAAGTTTCTGATATGGTTTTTACTTGACAATTCCAGAACAATCACGGGCAAATAAAGTCATTCAAATATCTTTAGAAAAGAAAATGTTTATTCATGCACCTGACACATCATCAGTATTACAAACAACAGTGGCATTATGTCCGCCAGTGGGTTCTGACACTTGGTGTATTCAAGGAGGGGAATTGGGATTATGGTCGCATCTTCAGTTGTCATGGATATACTTTTTAATATGAATGTCCTCAAACCAATCAAAATAATGCTAATTGATTGTTCATGTGATGGGGATGGGGTAGTAATGGCACATTCTCCTCTGAATCTATTCACATGTAGTGTGAACCAGATTGAAATTATATACAAAAGATGTCTGAAATAAAGAATTGTCTTACCACGACCCTTAATTCTAAGCACTATTTAAACTTTACATGTAAGTATTATTTTGGTCAATATCTTATGTTCTATAAAATTTTAATCCATTTTCTTATTGTTCTAATATTATAGCTGCATAAAAGAGGCAGTTGAACATTTTTTTGGTGGAGTTGTGGCGCAAGTGTGGCACTTGTCAGGCGAGGCAGTGTCACCAAGAATTTAACCAATCAATAATAATAAATATTTAAGTTTTCAGGTTACTCATTTCATGTTCAAATTGCCCAGTGGACATGCAATATATACGTAGGCCTATGATACAGCATGTCAAAATGCTTGATGCCAAATAATATGGCTAATTCAGTTTAATATTCTAACTGCACTACACACACTGAAAACTGCTACTACTAAACATTTATATGATTATTATTGAAGCTTGTTTGAAAGTGTAGCGCCACCAATCGTCACTGCGACAAATACGCTATTTATCCAGTGGATTTTCATGCCTGTTCAAATTCAATACATCTCTTTTACCTTGGTAAAACAAATTAATAAATAAATAACAAAATGCTAGTAAGCAAAAGCCTTGGTATTGCCATTAAATCTTGTATGCATTGCTAATGCTCACTGATGATTTCAAAGACTTCAAAGATCCTCCGGCTACGAAGAAAGCAATTGTAGTTGTAACAACTAACACCACATAGACAATTGGAATGACCACACTATACAGAATTGGTGATTTGAAAAGAGTCTGAAAGTAAGAAAAACAGCTCAGTTGTTAAAGCAATTAACTGTATGCGATGGTTTGGTTTGAAGCTCATGTCTACATGTTTTTCTGAACAATTTACTGACATACATATTTTAGAAACCAGCAATGAATGGATGATAAATTAAACCACATTATATAATACTGTATGAACGCACAAATGCATCTAATAAATTAAATGATATTATAACACCTGTATATATTCTATTAATTTGATCGGTTGAAAACAGGTCACCTGAAATTGATTTAAAATGAATATCCCATGGTTCTATGGTGAGTACTATTCAACGATCGTTTTATAGTAACTTTTAATCTCCAAGACAACAAAAATCTCAAATGCAACGCGAGCAAGAAAAATTAGCCTAACCTAGGCAACCTGCGCGTCAACAAGGAGTTAGTCATTCAGTAGCCCTCGCTCTGCCAACAAAATGGCATGTCCATTTGGTACTGGGCCATTTGTCCTTTTGAGCAAGGAAGGTTTGGAGGAATTACTGAATGAAAGTTATGCCGAATCAACAAAATAGGCAATAAAATATGCAGTTAACTGTAAGGAGTATTTCGCCAGCTTCAGCAGTGAGGATTTGAGTCTATATTGAACTTGAACTTGAACCTAGGCCAGTTTTATGCTGGCCTTCAAAAGGAAGATGGGCCCTTGTATTCGAAGAGAGCATGCAGGCGATCCGGACAGATACAACTAGGTGTTGTATTAAACAAATAATGAATGTTTCTTACATTCATTGAATATGCTCGTCGAATAGTTTCTTACGCTTCGTTGAACAGAACATCCAATGTTTCACCTCATGAAATATTCTACCCCATTGCACTCATAAACATTCATTATTTGTATACTAATAAACGACATGTTTCGACATGTAACAAGTCATCATCAGGCAATAGTGCTTATGCTACTACCGGTTTATATACTACCGGTTAGATGTATGACAAACAGACACTAAGGTAGTCATGTAACAAACAACTCATTACAATATCACTCATTCATTCTAATTCTTATATACATGAGTTACCACAGTATTCAGCTTTAGTATACATGACTCATCTTTGTATTTGTTTGCCATACATTTGAACAGTAGTATATAAAACGGTAGTAGCATAACCACTATTGCCTGATGATGACATGTAACACGTCGAAACATATCATTTATTAGTATAATTTATTATATAATAATTTACAAGAGGAACCCTAAGCATCAGCATACTGTTTGGCATACTGTAGTATTATTTTAAACCTGGTGCAAATAAAAAACTAATAATTTAAATTAGAATTAACACTTAAGAGGTTTTTCAAACTTACCAGTAAGGAAACCCCTAAATGTGTTGCTAATACATAGCCAATAGCAACATACTTTCGATGTTCACAGCCCCAAAAGAAAATCACGTTCCAAAATGTATGCAGAAAAATAAAGGCCATTGTCATAAATGCTGAAAATAAAGAAAATAAAAGATTTTGTATTCATACCTACAGTTACTCACATGTGCAGTGCAGAAAATGTATGTATACATGAAAGCCATCATCTTAAAACGAACCCTCTCCCTTGTAATTAACCAATTATATTTATGGGGTAGTATGATCAAACCTTCTACTATAAGAGATCAGTGTGGCAGCACAGTGCTCAACATGCTGTTAGATTTTTATGGATCCAAGTAAAATGATTATGACTCAATAAATGCTCACTCTATATGATATATGGGGGACTGGCAAAATTTAAAGATGCTTACCTGATGTAAGGAGAAACTCATGAGGGTCATTGTTGAGTCCAACCGTTCCCGGTCCCTTAGAATCAGCCAAAATATTACTGAATGAAAATAGTCCACTCATTACACCAAACCCAAAACCAGAAACTGCAGTAACAAAAATAATTATATATTTGATTTTTATTAACTTGTTAATAAATGTCTGATATAAATTAATATATTAAAGAGTAACTTAAGAGCCACTGGACAGTATATCAGTGTATCAGTAATTTATGAAACCTGTATTTTGTGTGTGTATATATATATATCGAGACAAAATAAATGAAATTAAAAAAAATGAAAAACCTTGAGACATGATTCATTGTATCATTATTATTAATAATTTTATTATGGTTAAATTTAGTATTAATCTTATTACATGTTATATTTAATCTAATTATCTGTTATATTTTGGTATGTTTTATCTTCTCCTTGTTTGGAGGTTTTGATGAATAAATTTGATTTGGTGTATTCTGTGTGAAAGTATATTAGAAAGCGCATAAGTCAAATGTAATGCCAGACTGAATATGGTTTGTTGTATTGGCTTTGCCTGCTAATTTGTATACAGTATAATACAGGTGAGTTGCACTTTGCAAATCCCCTCACTGTGAACAAGGCTAGTTAACACTAAGGCAGTTGGTGTTGAAGTACTTCATGGCTTACTTTCGTTAAGCTTCTTCCTTTCAAATTGTATTAGGCCAGGTTATGTTTGATTAGTATGACGTACAGTGTTGTGTACATTTTTACATGATAGGCTATAGTAGGCATATGGTTGTGACACTATTTGAATATATTAGGAACATGTTAAGTATTACATCTTTGCTTATTATAGGCAATGTCATATATTTTTGAATTTTCAGTATTGACTTTGAAGTTGATATTGTTGCTGTAAAATTGGCACACTGTCACACATTAGCAAGCCTATGTCATATGTCAATAAATGTACTCATAAAGCAACCATTGGCAGAACTTGTAATTTGTACAATCTTCATATGTATAAAGTGAGTAGGTTCGAGCACCAATGTGCTGACTACTAGGTGCAACCAGGGAACAGTGAATTTTCACTGTTCCCTGCTGCAACCAAAGAGTATAAAACTGTAAGAGGTCCAACCGCCTTTATTTTGTACGCAGGCAATGGAACGTTAAAAAAGTACTGCTAAGAAATAGGGGCGCCCTTTTCAAATTCGAATAGAGTTCAAAACTCAAACATGCACGCAGCACACATTCGATCATCAAACGTCTTTTAAGGTCACGTCCCATTGTGGAAGTAATTTTTGAAATAGGATTGTGTTTCAATGAAACCCCGGCAGTCGGACCTCTTGCAATTTTATACTCTTTGATCCAAGGTTATAGAATAGACCATTCTGGAGTGCCAATCAAACTTTACAACTGACCAATCAGAAGAGGACCACAAATGCACATGTTTATGTAAATTTACAAAATTGTATTATGGGACCTTAGCAACTATATCCAAGGGGCAAGGCATTGTGGAAGGTCCATTGTCCCCCAGTAGCTGAGTCCTTGTCTTACTTACCATATGCATACATATGTTGAGTTTTTTCTGAGGTAGTTGGTGTGTTTGAACCTACAGGTGTCCTTGTTCTATTGTCAGTTTCATTAAACTGCTGAAGACCATCCTCTGCCTTTCTGTAAAATTCAGGAAATTTAACTCATAATTATTTTTAATTCCTTTCATTTTCAAAAAGGATGCACCCACCTAGCTAGTTAAGTGATGCTATTATTTATAAGGTAGTTACCACAGTAGAGGGTCGGTACTGCACAGTACCAACGGTACATGGTTGGAAGGTAGGTAATAATGGCACTGCATAGGTAGGTAGAAGGTAGTTACCACAGTAGAGG